CTCTTCCCACTTTTAGGATTTCCACCTTTTTTGGGTTTCCATAATTTCCGGAATTTTCAGCAAGCTCTCTCTAGCCGCCGTGGGATGATCCTAAGCACCAGCATCGAATCAGACCACGCACAGAAACTTTGTCGAACAGCCAGCCAAAGATGATTGTCTCCCAGATACCATACCGAGGAGTACATCCAGGGAACCCTTGCAGCCAGCCCAAAACTTCCGGAAGTCCACCCGCTTCAGCTCGGCTCCGTCAAATGGTAATTTTTCTATTAGTTTTTTGAGACGGGTTCTTTGGCATTATCCGGGGAGAGAGATTTTGCGTCTTTTGCCCAACATTTTGGCTTTTTGAACGTTTTTAAAGTTTAAAATTGTGTGTTAGTTCCAGCATGAGTTGTTTTTTTTGCTAAAAACACCATTGAAACACTTGCTTTTTAAGACGCGAGGCTTTTCAAGACCGAGGCACAAAATTCGCCATCCCCCGATAATGCGAAAGAACCTCTTGCTACCTTTCAATAGTCCCGCAGAAATTTTTTCAGGCTTTTAATGCTCCAATCTTTCCAGTTACAGCATCAACGTCCAAGTCGGGGTGGAGAAAAATGAAACAACAGGCCAAGAAAGGGCATCACCACGCTCACCCTGCCCGAAGTGCCCTAATTTCTCGTCGACGCCTTCAGGCATTGTTCGCTCGAACATTTAGAGAGGAGGGCTGTTCGGAAAGGGAGCAACAATGCCCGCATCAACTCGTACAACAAAAAAGATTCTGTTGAGAATTTTTGGCGGTTAATTTAATTAAAATCTGTTTTTTCAGGCAATCTACCGAGGCGTGAGCGGATCCCGCTCGATTTGAACTATTTGGATATGCTCGCGTTGGTAAAGACCCTTTCCAGAGCTCTAAAGGTTAGCAGTTGAGAATCTCCGTGTTTTATCAAGATTTTAGCTTTCCCTCTACTCCATTCTCGCGACATCGCCAACGACCTACTGACGGCCGATCGAAAGGGGCTGTGAGAGCGTGAGTTGCCATTTGGATTCAGTATTGATCTCTTGTTTAGGTGTCCGGCGAGCAGCTTCATTATTCTACGCACTCCGGATGCCCGAGCTGCCACCTGAGGACGCTGTGCTTTTTTGATGCGCGAACTTAATCGGGTAATTTTAGTTTTTTTTGCTTTTGTAGGCGAGCTATACTTATGTCCAAAGTTTTCAGGATCTTTTTGAGCTGCTTACAAAACAATGCGCGTGCTGCGCGTTTTCCAATCTATTTTTAACCCATTTTTCAGGTCTCCCCAGCACAACGACCGAACGGGGTGACGATCCAGAATCTGGCGACCTGCTTCGGGCCGACCCTGTTCGACTTGACGGCGTTCGACAAGCCGAAGGGGGTACCGAAGCACACCAGCATGCCGGCCATTATTAGGCAACCCGCCCACCCTCAGTCAGCTCAACGGAGGCGAAAGGCCGACTCGCAAAAAACCGCCACCGCCGTCACCATTCCCATCGAGTGGGCCACCTGGATTGGTCGGTTTTTTTTATATAGTTTACAGCTTAGCAACGGTCGCTTTTTGGGAGATAACCGATTTTTGTGGTGTGGCGTAGTCTATAGGGCGGAAATTCTAAGTAGGGCCGACCGTTGAACGATGGGAAATGACGGCTGAACGATAACGGGCTTCAAAAAACAGGGTCTCAAATTCTTAATTTTTTGAAAGCGTGGATCATAGATGGGAAAATTCAAGCTTCTTTCGTCCTTTCGTACAGCAATTTTTTTGCAAGCTGAATCTTTTTCAAGGTGAAAGCTCTATCAAAATAGTCCCGTCACATCTCAAAACTCGGTGATCTCCTTAAAGGACTTGTTCTTAATTTGGTCATGCTTCACCTCAGATTTTCAGGGCTCACCCGCGAGTACTACGTCTCGAGCCAGGCGCGCAGCTCCTCGGCCGCTCCCATCAACCGGTGGGGGTTTTGAACCCCTTCTTTTTCTGTGTATCTATCTTGTCCATGTATTTGTTTGCTCCTATAGCGTCGTTGTCGCTGCTGGGAAGCGTTTATGTGTGTGTTCGTCGTGGATTCTGTGCCTGGGCGTCTATCCGGCTATGTTGCTCATTTTCGCACGCCGCTCTCGCGCTGCAGGCGGCATCGATTCCGCTCGACAACGCACGTCGCTGCCGAGCCCCCATGACCCGGCCATCGTTCGCCTGCAGAGTAACGGTTATTTCAACCCACATGAGAATTTTTCGGGAGCTTTTTGGTTTTGTTATGTGAAATAGCTCAATTGGTAGAGCTTGAAACCAATCCCGTCTTCAAAAAAAGCTGCTGAACAATTGCGGTCTACGAAAAGAAGTCTCACGTAGCTTCCATTTTGATCAGCAGTGCCAACAATGGACAAATCGGTCTTTTCAGATCAAACTTTCTCGAATACCGTATTGGTTCAGCAATTTTTGAAATCTGGGCTTGTTCAGAATATCAAGTCCGATTGACTAGGTCACATCGCAAGACTCCAAATGCAGCGAAAAACCTTCCTTTTTCCCGAATTTTACTAGGAATATCGTTTCTAGTAGCTTCGACACTTTAATTTTGTTTCTTTTGAGACTGCGTGTTTCGTTAGTCTTCACTTTATAGAGGATTTCTAAATCGGTTTCCACTAGAATTTGCGTTTCTTTTTGCAAAAAAACAACAGTTTTGTAGCTTTTTCCTGTCCTTGCATGTCTGTTTTGCCACCGTCCGACGTCCCTTTGCGCAAATAGCTTCCTTTTCTCGTATATGTTCTGTGTCACAAGTGTCCGCGTCCCAATCGACCCGCAGCCACAGCACCAGAACAAATCCTCGTCTCGGAAGCGCCCTCAAGAACTGTGCCGTACGTTTGTCCCGTCGGCCCTGTGTTCATGTGTTTTTGTATTCCAGCGCCGCTCGTTCGCCCTCGTTCGTCAACGCGCTGCACTCGCCGCTGCCGCACACCTTAACCCATACGTTGGGCGTGCAGAACAACAATCATCTGGTTTGACCCGTTCACCGATGAAGATGACGAGAACCAACGCGTGCTTCAGCGCAAGCCCGAACAATATCTGCAACAGCAACAGGGCAGCAGCGACAAGAGCCGACACCGGCACCCCGGTCACCATCTATCCAGTGTTGGTGGCTTGTGTTTTGTGTGCTGCGAACGAGACGTGCAGCCAGAATGCCCATGCCGCAATGCCCAAGAACGGTTCTTTGGTATTTCACGGGAATCTGATTTTTTTTATTAAAATTATAGAGGAAGTATTTATGCTATTGCACAACGCCAAAACTGCGCAAATTTATTAAAAGGCTCAAATATTGATTTCTGTATAGAAAATGGCCGGATTTGGATCAAAATTTCAAACTTTTTGAAGCCTTTTCTAAATAGTCCGCGCTCCTTCCCGGAATACCAAAGGACCCTAAACACAAAATTTTGGGTTTCAAGCTTTTGCATGTCGGCTTTTTCGCTGTTTTTTTTGGGAAAACCTTCTAAATCCTGCTGATCTGTTACCACTGTCGTTTTATGCGAGATCCAAGAATCGTTTCTATGTGTATTTCTATTGACAAATCAATTCAAAGCATCTTTAATCCTCTTTAATTTCTGATTTCAGACTCGAAACCGTCGCTCCAGCTCGTTGGCCTTCCACGCTTTTTTTGGGTTTCCGCCTAATTTCCGGAATTTTCAGCAAGCTCTCTCTGGCCGCCGTGGGATGATCTAAGCACCAGCATCGATCAGACCACGCACAGAAGCTATCGAACAGCCAGCCAAAGATGATTGTCTCCGAGATACCATATACCGAGGAGTACATCGAGGCCACTTGCAGCCAGCCCAAAACTTCCGAGTCCACCCTTCAGCTCGGCTCCGTCAAATGGTAATTTTTTCTATTAGTTTTTGAGACAGGTTCTTTGGCATTATCGGGGGAGAGAAATTTTGCGTCTTTTGCCCAACATTTTGGCTTTTTGAACGTTTTTAAAGTTTTAAAATTGTGTGTTAGTTCAACATAGTTGTTTTTTTTTTTGCTAAAAACACCATTAAAACACTTGCTTTTAAGACGCGAGGCTTTTCAAGACGAGTACAAAAAATTACCCATCCCCCCCCCCCGATAATGCGAAAGAACCTCGAAAACTTTTGTCCCGCGAAATTTTTTTCAAGCTTTTTAATGCTCCAATCTTTCCAGTTACAACATCAACATCCAAGTCGAGGTGGAGAAGAGCGAGCAACAGGCCAAGGGCATCACCACGCTCACCCTGCGCGAAGTGCCCAAATTTCTCGTCGACGCCTTCAACATCATTCGCTCGAACATTGAGAAGGAGGGGCTGTTCCGGAAAGGGGGCAACAATGCCCGCATCAACTCGTACAGCAAAAAGATTCTGGTGAGAATTTTTTGGCGTTAATTTAATTAAATCTGTTTTTTTTTCAGGCAATCTACCAGGGGCGTGAGCGGATCCCGCTCGATTTGAACTATTTGGATGTGTGCTCGTTGATAAAGACCTTTTTCAAGACTCTAAAGGTTAGCAGTTGAGAATCTCCGTGTTTACATCAAGATTTTAGCACCCTCTACTCCATTCTCGCGACATCGCCAACGCCCTGCTGACGCTGGCCGATCGAAAAGGGGCTGGTGAGAGCGTGAGTTGCCATTTGGATTCCAGTATTGATCTCTTGTTTAGGTGTCCGGCGAGCAGCTTCAATATATTCTACGCACTCGGATGCCCGACTACCACCTGGGGACGCTGTGCTTTTTGATGCGCGAACTTAATCGGGTAATTTTTAGTTTTTTTTTTTTTTGCTTTTGTAAGCGAAAGCTATACTTATGTCCAAAGTTTTCAGGATCTTTTTGAGCTGCTTACAAAACAATGCGCGTGCTGCGCGTTTCCAATCTATTTTTAACCCATTTTTCAGGTCTCCCAGCACAACGACCGAAACGGGATGACGATCCAGAATCTGGCGACCTGCTTCGGGCCGACCCTGTTCGACTTGACGGCGTTCGACAAGCCGAAGGGGGTGCCGAAGCGCAGCATGCCCGGCCGTGTCCAAACCAACCCGCCCACCCTCAGTCAGCTCAACGAGGCGAAGGCCGACTCGCAAAGAGCCGCCACCGCCGTCACCATTCTCATCGAGTGGGCCACCTGGATTGGTCGGTTTTTTATATAGTTTACGCTTAGCAACGGTCGCTTTTTAGGAGATAACCGATTTTTGTGGTGTGGCGTAGTCTATAGAGGCGGAAATTCTAAGTAGGGCCGACCGTTGAACGATGGGAAATGACGGCTGAACGATAACGGGCTTCCAAAAAACGGGGTCTCAAATTTTTAATTTTTGAAAGCGTGGATCATAAATGGGGAAAATGCAAAACTTCTTTCGTCCATTCGTGCAGCAATTTTTTTGAAAGCTGAATCTTTTTCAAAGGTGAAAGCTCTATCAAAATAGTCCCGTCACATCTCAAAACTCGATGATCTCATAAAAAAGGACTTGTTCTTAATTTGGTCATGCTCACCTCAAATTTCAGGTCTCACCCGCGAATGCTACGTCTCGAGCCAGGCGCGCAGCTCCTCGGCCGCGCCCATCAACCGGTGAGGGTTTTTGAACCCCTTCTTTTTCTGTGTATCTATCTTGTCCATGTATTTATGTTGCTAACTAATAAAGCGTCGATGTCGCTGCTGAAGCGTTTATGTGTGTGTTCGTCGTGGATTCCGTGCCCCGGGCGTCTATCCGGCTAATGTTGCTCATTTTCAGCACGCCTCTCTCGCAGCTGCAGGCGGCCTCGATTCCGCTCGACAAACGCACGTCGCTGCCGAGCCCCAATGACCCGGCCATCGTTCGCCTGCATGAGGTAACGGTGATTTCATCTTACAATGAGGATTTTTTTCGAAGCTTTCTTAGTTTTGTTATGTGAAATAGCTCAATTGGTGGAGCTTGAAATTCTGAACCAATCCCGTCTTTAAAAAAAGCTGCTGAACACTGCGGTCTACGAAAAGAAGTCCCACGTAGCTTACATTTTGATCAGCAGTGCCAAAAATCGACAAATCGGCGTTTTCAGATGAAATTTCCTTGAATACCGTATTGGTTCAGCAATTTTTGAAATCTGGGTTTGTTCAGAATATTAAGCCCGATTGACTCAGCTAGGTCACATCGCAAAACTCCAATTGCACCTAAAAATCCTCCTTTTTCCCGAATTTTGCTAGGAATATCGTTTCTAGTAGCTTTGACACTTTAATTTTGTTTCTATCCAGACTGCGTGTTTCGTTAGTCTTCACTTTATAGAGGATTTCTAAATCGGTTTCCACTAGAATTTGCCTTTCTTTTTGCCAAAAAAAAACAGTTTTGTGGCTTTTTCCTGTCCTTGCATGTCTGCTTTGCCACCGTCCGACGTCCCTTTGCACGAATCGCTTCCTTTTCTCGTATATGTTCTGTGTCTAGGGTGTCCGCGTCCCAATCGACCCGCAGCCACAGCACGGAACGAATCCTCGCCTCGGAAGCGCCCTCAAGAACTGTGCCGTACGTTTGTCCCGTCCGCCCTGTGTTCATGTGTTTTTGTATTCCAGCGCCGCTCGTTCTCCTCGTTCGTCAACGCGCTGCACTCGCCGCTGCCGCGCACGCCAAGCCGTACGTGGGGCGTGCGGAACAACGACCAGTGGAACGACCCGTTCACCGATGAAGATGACGAGAACCAGCGCGTGCTTCAGCGCAAGCGGGAGCAATATCTGCACCAGCAACGGGAGCAGCAGCGACAAGAGCCAGCACCGGCACCCCGGTCACCATCTATCAGTGTTGGTAGCTTGTGTTTTGTGTGCGAACGAATGTGCAACCAGAATGCCCATGCAGCAATGCCCGAGAACGGTTCTTTAGTATTGCCCGGGAAACTGAATTTTGAAAATATAGAGGAAAGTTATGCTATTCCTTACCGCCAAACAACGCAAATTTATTAAAAAGCATAAATCTTGATTTCTGGAAAGAAAATGCCGATTTTGGATCAAAATTTCAAACTTTTTGAAGCCTTTTCTAAATAGTCCGCGCCCCTTCCCGGGAATACCAAAGGACCCTAAACACAAAAATTTTGCCGAAAATTTTGGGTTTCAAGCTTTTGCATGTCGGCTTTTTCGCTGTTTTGTTGGGAAAGCCTTCTAAATCCTGCTGATCTGTTACCACTGTCTTTTTCTGCGAGGTCCAGGAATCGTTTCTATGTTTATTTCTATGGACAAATCAATTCAAAGCAGGCTTTCCTCTGCACTGCATCTTTAATTTCTAATTTCAGACTCGCAACCGTCGCTCGAGCTCATTGGCATTCCAGAACTTGGCGCAAAAGGCGAGCAACTTCCTGAGCAAGGGGTATCAACCATTCTCTTTTCTGCCATTATTTTGATTTCCAGTCGTCGACGCAAAAGCACCGAACGCACCACCCACACCAACGTCCGGCCAGTGCTGCCAAGAAGACGGTAAACTATCTTTTTCTTTTCGCCTCAGATTTGCCTTTTCCAGCGACCTCTCTGCCGACAGCTCGTCGAGTCGCCCGCACCATGCCGGTCTCGCCGGCCACCAGTCGCGCAGTCGCATCAGGGACAGCCCGCAACGCTCGAAGGGAGCCGTATCTAAGGAGGTATCTTATTGTTAGCTTTAGGCATTCAGACATTTACGGTTTTCTGACGCCCTTGGGTTTAATTTCTATAAATATTTATATTGCTTGGATTGAGCTATTTTATACGTCATTTTAGGAACAGGCCGAGCAGCGGCGCAAGCTCGTCGCCCGTCAGCCAACACCAGGCCCGTCCGGCTCGAATTCCCACAAGCAGCGTGAGTATCCCATTCCCCCTTTTTGATTTTGATTTTTTAGCGAGCTTCACCATCTCCAGCGGCAGCACCACCCCGGTCAAGTCGCAGCGGCCGCCCGCCTTGCCCCGCGAGGTCACCAGCCCGTCCTATGATTTCAGGGTAATTTGCAACTTGTTTTCCTGTAATTCGCGTTTAGGACATTCCTAATATGGAACGCGTGATCCGTCGGCTCGACTTCTCGCCACTCGCCGAATCCCCTGCCCAAGCTACGCCGGCCGCCAAAAAGCCTGCCTCCCCGATGCGACAGAAGAATGCGAGGACCAAGTCGAACGCTTCCGACTACAAGAACGTGGCGGCCAACAACGTCTGGGCCCAGTCGATGATCCCGAGCACCACGCAGACGAAAAAGGAGCGTCGCCGTCGACACACCACACCCGTCAAGTCGAATGTGCTGAGGTGAGAGGGTTGATGTTTGTGTACAATGTGCCCCAAAAAAAGTCTAAAAGAAACCAGAAAACAAAAATAAAAGCGTTTTTCTCGCTTTTTACGAGTTTTCGTTTCGTATAGAAATTATCCGGATTCGAGCTTCTCGCGGACCACTGGATTGTGGTGTACGTTTTTTTGGGGACACCCAGCATTTGCCAGGATTTGTTGTAGATTCCTGTATTTTGGCTGTAACTTTCCGTCAACGCAAACCCTTTTTTCCAGACGCCATCACCCGAACACCGTGGCCAACGGTTTGCCGCGTCGCCGTGTCACTCAGGCGATCACCGCCGAGGAGAAGGAAAACGTGATGCGGCGCCGCACGCATTCCGTCGAAGATCTCGAAGAGACCACCGGCGACAGCTCGGACGACATCTTGGAGAATCGGGCGAAACATTTGAAGACTTTGGTATGCTTGCTTTTACTTGATTTAGTCAATTTTTAGTGGATGGACCTGGACGCTCGCCCGCGTCGCACCAAGCGCCTGAAACGCCGTGACGCAAACACCGAAACGTCGACGGCCAACGCCGCCACTTCGCCGATGCTCCCTGCCGGTGCGTTTTTGCAGCTTCTTCCTTTCCAATGAGATTTTCAGAACCGTCTCACAAGCTTGGCCCAACAGTCGTCCCGTCGCGCAACAAGTATGACGTCACCCCGCTGTCGATCACCACCGAGCAGGGCCCTGGCGGTATCGGCATTTCCGAAATGGTATTTATTGTAGCTTCTCTGCAATTAACATTTTTGTTTAGCCGAGCCCGCAGCGCATACTTCAAGTGACGCCCGTGCAGAGCCCGGTGGCCACCCGTTCGCCCCACCACAACTATCCCAACCAGCCGGCCGTGCAGCTCATCTCGGCGGTCGCCCGCCATACAGCGGTACGTTGCTTACTGCCGGTTCTGCATCTAAATCAGTCAACTAAAGGGCGTTTTATTCTATAGCGCCAAAAACTGATTTTGGTCTTGGATAAAATTGCAGAAAAACGGCGAAACTCGTCAAAATTTGAATGTTTTGAACGTCAAAATTGTCAAAGGTGGTTATAGCTGTTTAGCGATCGGAAAATGCAAATAACATCTCTTTTGCCAACGCGAATCCTTATAACGTTTCTTTTCAGGTTCCTGCCGTCGTGCATGAACGTGCTGGCGGTCTCATGGACGTGCGCGTGGAGCCGGTGACCAAGTCGATGTCAGCCATGCCCGGCCCATCCGTCTCGCGCTCGAGCCTGTACTCGCGACACGCCGACGTCTACGACCGGAAGCCACCCGCTCCCCCAAGTCCGGATGCCGTGGCCAAAGATCGGGCCCGTCAAACCATCATCCAGCAGCTCAGCCTCGATTCGCAGATGGTTGCCGAGCCGGTTTTCAAAGGTATATTTAGCTATGCCTTGGATTTGAACTAGCCAAATCTTTACAAAAACTTAAATTTGATGACGAAAATAGCTATTTTTTAAAAAATCGGTTGTGTGTGTACTCGTCTCTGGACCATTACGCATCTAACGCCATGCCAAACGTGCCTTAAAATCTGCCCCTGAAGCGCTAGTTGCGGACCATACGCATGCGGTGGTGGCTAAACATTGACGCGCACAAAACCACTATTTTCGATATTTAAAAATTTTATATTTTAGTGCCGGCCCCGCCTGGGAACCTCTCGCGCACAAGTGCGGCCCGTCAACCGCTCTCGCCAGGCTATGCTCGTTCCCCCACCGACGGCCACCGCCAGTTCCAACTGCAGTTCGAAGATGACTCCCCGATTGCCAACAACGTCGTCCGTTCGCCCATCCAGCAGTCGTCGTCGCACGCGATGCAATCACCGTTGTCGCGCCGCGGCATGTCGGCCAGTCTGCTCGGGCAGCGTCATGCCGTCTATTCACCGGTATATTTTTGGTTTTTATGGATTCTCATTAATCTCTCGGAATTCTTGAGTTTTTGCGAATCCTAGTGTGCGTTCCGTCAAGATTTCACTACTTTTTGAAACTAATTTTAGAGCACTAGCTTAGCCTAAAGGTCGTAATTCTATGGCTGCAAAACCATAGATTTCAGTTCTGCGATTGGCTGTCGCTTTTTAAACGCTGAAACCCAACTGCGATAACCAGCCTTTATAAAACTTCGGCGCAGGGAATATTTTGAATTCACTGGATAAATGTTTACTGAATTCTGAATTAGCAGTTTTAAAATGCCGTCATTTTGATCGCCTTTCACTCATTTAATTTTTTTTTAGTCCAAGAGCCTGCAACGTCAGCTGAGCGTGGAAGAGTTCCGGGACAGTGACCGCTATCGAGACTCGATCGTCGCCGCTTCGTCAAGCTCGGTTCGTGCTTTTGAATCGAATTTCGATAGCCGTTTTTCAGGAATTGGACATGGGCCAGAACTTTGAGCCGCAACGCCCCTCGGTGGCGTTCATCTCGACGAACCGCCGCGGGCTCGTCCGCGATCGGGTCAACATGTTTGGAGGCGGAAGCACGCATAATGTCAGTTGTTTTGAAAATTACAAAAACATCGATTTTTGATCAAAAGCCGCATCATTTTACCAAAAACGTTTCCGAGTTTTTTAATTGTCTTCCCAGTTTAAATATAATTAAACTCGTTTAAAAATGCTTTTATGATTCTTTTCTAGACGCCGCAGTCACACAACGGAAGTGGACGCCTCTCGGAGCCGACGGGTCGACGCAGCGACGTGCAGCCGCTTCGAAGCCGTCAGCTGTAGCTGAACAACTGCCTCGTTTTCTTCGCGTTTGTCTGCTCCCCCGTTCTTTCGCAAATGTGTGTCTTTCCAGGCTATTTGCATGTTTCTTGCATAGCGCTCCTTCTCCTCGATCACTCACTTCCTCAGGGGCCAGTGTGTCCATAGTACAGTATCGTTCTGCCCCCCCCCCCTTCCGCTCGTACAAAGTGGCGTCGCCCCACATTCGCTGGCCATTCGATTGCCGTGTGCCGACCCCTAACCCCCCACCTTTTCTCCGAAATATATTTCTGTTTTTCCCTTTTTTTTTGATGTGAAGCACGAACAAAACAAAAATTAAAGGCCGGTATCCCCCATTTCAAAGCGCCCTTTCCGCCCCCCTCCTTAAAATGTGTTGTTTTTAACAGACTGTCCATTATTTTCCGTATTATGTGCCCCCAATTCAATCGTTCCATCCACTTGCGCTGTACATTTGGTCGTCGCGTCTCGGCGGACCCCCACCTCAGCTCCGTCAATTACGATGAGCAACAGCAGTTTTGTATTCGGCATTCAATAAATCATATTAACCAATTGGAGGCGTGGTTGTCTTTTTTATTTCTGGGCAATGAATATTTATTTATTGAAGAGTCGCAACAATTACAATATATACATCGGTATGGCTTTTGGTAGACACTTATTCGTTTTTATCTGGACGTCCTTTGCCTCAGGCTTGAATATTAATTTATTGAAAACTTGTAACAATTACAGTATATACATCACAATGCCTTGGAAGTGCCTATTCGTGTTTGATCGGGATATCCTTTGCCTCGGGCTTCTCCAATTTCGGCGTCTCCTTTGGTGGCGCGACATATGGGGCTCGAATCGTCAGAACGCCGTCCTCATCGTAGCGGCAACTCATTTCTATGAATATTGTTCGTAGATTCCATCTATCTATCTATCCATCTCTATCTCTCTCTCTCTCTCTCGCTCTCTCTCTTTCCACTCACCATTTATCGTCACCCCCTCCGGAATTGCCATCTTTTTCGTAAAGGAAAATTGCGACATCTCGTCCTCGTGCTTCACCTCCACCGTGATCAGCTTTTCCGAGGCGTTGGTGGAAATTGACACCTATGAAATGCGCTTGGTTTCGCTATGAAAGCTCCGTTTTTCCGGCAAACTAAAAAGTCCACGCTCGGGCCCACCTCTTCCGGCTTGAACCTCCTGACATCAAAGGCGAGCTTGAACACCTGCTTCCCGTCTGCTTCTACAATCGGATGCGCCAGCCGGTACACCTCGGCCTCCAGCGGGTTTTCCAGGCGGAACGGCCGGAAGTGCCATGGGCCTGCAAAACGAATCGTTACTTTCGAAATGTCGAAAATCATCGTGTTGAAAATCATAACTTGGAGATTGATAATTTAGAAATTTACATAAGCACCTCCCGGAAAAATTTCGAAATTTTGAAGTGTCGGTATTCTGAAATTCCGACTAATATACCTTGAACATTCTGAAATGTCGAGATTACGAAATTTCGGCATTCTGATAGCAAATTAGATCGTGTAAAAATAAGAAAAAGAAACTAAAATAGCAAGCTAATTTAAGCTAATTAACGCAAAACCTACTATTTCGAAACAATTCCCTCTCCAGCAAATCGGCCGGCTCCTCCATCGCCCGGATAGCCGCCACCGCCACCACGCTAAAATTAAAATAAGTTTGTGCCGGTATTTGAACAGCCTCCGCGTCATTTTCCCCAAAAGGCAAAAAGAATTGCGTCGGTCGGGAATCGAACCCGGGTAGCCTTGGTAAAGCTTGATGCGTTAGCTATGGAATGACCCCGAAAATACGGGGTGTCCGAATCAAAACACCATGGAATTTTGGAGAGAAGGATCTGGTCGGAATGATAGCTACACGATTCGAAAGCCCTGGAAACGACCAGTTTGCAACAACCTTCAAAATCACGTTTTTATCTCAAGGCGCTATTTTACAACCCGTTTTCTAAAATTCTCCTGTTTTTTTGGGGGGTTTAGTACGCGGTAACCTGCCTTAAATTTCTCGAAGCAAAATGACCGCAAGAAGCGGCTAATTAGATGCACGGCCGTTGCTTAACAATTTTGAATGCGTTGTAAAATGGCTCGTTCAGGGGTGTTCCGATATGTTCAGCGGGAAATCCCGGCAGTCCATTTTCCGGGGGCCGGCAGTCCTTTCTGGGAGAGGAAAAGCGATTTTTCGCGGGCGGCTACACCGCCATATTCAAGTGATTAACAGACACTTTGTTAGAGCCTTAGAGCCGGTTTTGGAAGACGCTGCGAATGATGCAGAAAATTTTCATATTACCGTTTAATCAATTACATTAAATCAATTTCGTTTAGGATTTTGTGATAATAGATTCAATGTGCACTCGCTATACCGTGTCGAATCATACCATTCATGCTCCTACAACTACATGAATTCCGAGGGGCCGCCGCGTTCTTGTAGTCGGAAGCGTTCGACTTGGTCCTCGCATTCTTCTGTCGCATCGGTGAGGCAGGCTTCTTGGCGGCCGGCGTAGCTTGGGCAGGGGACTCGGCGAGTGGCGAGAAGTCGAGCAGTTGGGTTTCGCTACCTTTGGGAGGGCAGCTACCAACGCTTTCACAACGGCTACAACGCCAAGAAGAGCACGCAAGGAGGGTTGTGCCAAGATGAGGGAGCTCCTAACTCCACAAACAACTCGCTGCGCCTTACAAGACGCTAGGAGAAAAACCAAAAACTTATTAGAAGACTAGAATGTAATTAGGAAAACACTAATTTAGTGAGAGAAAGTTTATTGTTAAATAATCTGCGCGAGGGAAATTGATGAGAGTGAGAATTTAGAGGGAGAACGATGTTAAAAGGAGTTACGGGGGGGGCGAATAAAAACGGGGGACCTAGGGGACGGGGAATTAGAGGGGAAACCGGCGGCAACGGGGATCCGGTGAGCCCAAAAAAATCCGCGACTGACTGGGAGAGGGCTCTCTTCTTTGGGCGGCCTGCCTTCCTTGGGCGCGCGCCGTGGCGTCGGCGACGGTATCGCAATGTACTCGTGCGAAAGAGGGGCTCGAGGGAAGGGGAGCAGGGGCTCAACCCAACTCGGCACCCCCCGGAATAAACGTCGTCCGCGACGTTGAAACAGCATCCTTCCTTCACGTAAACGTACTTGTAACCGATCCGACTCGGGCGGTGGACGATCTTGTAACGAGCATGGCCACGGGTTTGGCTTGACGTAGACGAATTACGCTCGGGCATCCATCCTTCTCTCCAAAAAACGTACTTTTCCTTGACTTGACGGGTAGATGAGCTTGCGGACGGGTTTCCTTTGCTTGATGCAGACTTGTCGATCGACGGGCAGACATCCTTCCTTCAGAGAGAACGAACATGCTTGCATTCCTTGTCGCGTCCATATTTTCGTATCCATTTCTTGTTGTAGTCGTCCTTTCACATCCATTCCTTGCGTCGTATCCAATCCTTGTGGTGGCCCGTGCACCTTCTGGCGTTCCATCGTCTTGCACGGGCGGGCCGAGGCGAGGGGGATACAGAAAAAAGGTGGGGCCGGGGAAAGGAAAGAATACACATGAAAAGGAAATGCGGCAACGAGAATAACAACGTAGAAAGTCGTGAAAATGAAAAACGAGCACAGAATTACAATACGGCACGAGGAAAAGAGTTTACTTTTTCTTTTATTCCTTGTCTTGTAGCTGCGCATCGAGTAGTCGGTGACGACGGCGACGTAGAACTTGCGTTGCTGACGACGAGCTTCACCACTTGTTCCAGACATCCTTCTGACGGGCTTCACCACTTTGAGATGTTGAGCGACAAGAAGTCGGTGGAGATGGCGAGAAGTGCTTGACGATGATGAAGACATCCTTGACGAGCTTGACCATTTTGAGGCGTTGAACAGCACGTAGTCGGTGGTGGGGAAGAGAAGAACTTGACGAGCGTGAAGACATCCTTGACGAACTTGACTCCTTGAGCGCGTGTAGAACTTGAACGAGCGGGAACTTGACAATCCAGGGAGCAGCAGCGGGACTTCTCCGGATCCAGCGCCAGACGAGACCGAGATGATCAGGTTCTTGACATCGACTCCGTCGAGGGCCTTGGCGAAAAGATCGGGCCAGCAGGGCTCGAAATAAACCTTGGCGGCTTTCAGGGGCGTGGAGATCTTGTCGCCGGTGATCGCGACTTCATCGTCTTGGAGAATCAGGGCAGCGTAAACGCGGGTCCGATCCTCGTTGGAAGCCATCAGCGCAAGGGCGGGCCGGGCTCTTCAGGCCGTGCTACCTGGAAAACGTGAAATGTAGTCAAAATTTGGCGAGGACAACCAGAACTTTGAGAACAAAAATCAATCAATCAAATCAACTTGAATCACGTGGAAAGCAGAGCAAAAGGCATTGCAATGCGAGAGCGCGGAGGGATCAGCGAGGTTTTGGCGAGTTTTAGGCAACAAAACACGGCAAAAATTTGCGAAAGTGGGAGAATATCGCGGGAAACGTTTTCAATCGTCGAAAATAAAGTCCTCAAAACTTTTGTGCAAAAGAAATGAGTAATTTTGCGGCGGCAATTCAAAAGTATAGCTTTGGGCGGAGCTATAGCATCACGACAAAGCTTTTCCGCTCGATTTTTGAGGCGAAATCAGTCCTGAAAAAGGAGCGTTTTGCAGGGAAAGCATTCTTCGAGATGGAAACGAGTTTGAAAAGGCCTTTGACGATGAAAGAAGAGTTAGCGACGAAATTTCGAAGCCTTCAAAGCAAAATTTGCGCGCGAGAGCTGGGAAAACAAGCGAATTTGGGCGTGGCGAGAGAAAACAAAGAATGGCGCGTTCTTGTCAACTTCATACCAGGTAAAAACGCTTGGCGAAAGGGATTGCCAGTCCGGGTTTCAAAAGTTATTGCTTTATGAGCGGGTGAGAACGCGGGAAAATTACAAAAACTTCATCCCTAAAAGGCGATGAATCGGGGGAGGGTACGGCGGGGCAAAAAACAACTCGGGGACGAGAGGCGGGGGCAAAAGGGCGCTAGACGCGCCTCGCCGCGCAACGAAATCTGATGGCTTCTTGCTTGTTAGGATTCGCAGGACCTTCCTAACTGAAAACGATTTAGAGAGGGCAATCGATTCAAGAAAAAGCTGCGAAATGCCATTTTACTTTCAACGAGGGGTCATGGAAATCTTTTTCAAATGAAAAATGCGGGTATTCGAAAGGCTGGGATCACCGAGGTTTCTAATCTTGATACGACTGATAGCAAAAAGAGGAATTTTCAATTCGGAGCGCTATGAATCGAAGAATTCTGCGAAAGCAGTCGAAAAGCTCAACATGGCGAGGTGGAAAGCTCATTTTTCCAAGTGCTAAAGCAGAGAAATGTGCAGGGCTCATGAATTCCCTTTACAAAACGTGTGCGTTTCGCACTTTCCAAAAGGAGCCGAGTTCTGGGACGAACTTCTGCGCATGGAGCGAGTAAACGTCGAAAATCAAGCCTAGGCGGGATTAAAGAAACCGATAGAACCTTGAATACGCCGGTTTGAGATGTTTCTGGCCATTGGGAGCGGAGAAAGCGGTCTTCGCAGAGAACTTCTGGCCACAATGACGCTCGCGATTCGTCACTCTGGAAAAATTGCATCTGAGAATAAGGCAAAATCAACTCACTTTCAGGCGAAAGTTGTGGGCACTTGTGGCGGCTTTTTCTTTGAAGCGATCTTGCAGTACTGGCAAGATTCCACTCAAAAAGACGAGCGCGGCGGAAAATCGTGAGCATTCTGTACCCGCAATACAAAATCCACACCACTAAAACCGGAAAACGAAAACAAATCGATGACTGAGCCGTGCACAGCTGCAAGTCAAAGGGCTGTAACACCGTGCCAAGTTGTCCAGCTCACATCCGTGATGCGGCGGATGCGTCCAACTTGCACAAAATAGTCCGGGTACTGATTCTGCGGCAGAAACAGCGGAAAGGCGGCCACGATGTCCAGTCCCACACCGGCTCCGCGAATCGATCCTGAGCCCAAACTCGAGTCTCACTATGCCGAGATCACTGCGGATCAAAGTGCGCGAGCAACCAGCTGCAGCGGTGGAAGCTCTTCGGTCTTTTTCACCCATATACACTCGGATTCGTGTAATCTCCAGCAGCATGATCATGTGATCCACATCGATCCATGTGCTTGCTTTGCTCACCGGTCTCTGCGGTGATAATGGCTACCTTCTTGCGGGTTTCTTGGGTGCTTTTTCAGCCAATTTCTGGCTTTTTCTTCATCTTGGCCTCTACTTCTTCAAAGAAGGGCTTTTCGATGGCTGTTCATGCCTGGTTCACGGGCAAAACCAGAGCATGTCGACGTCCGAAAGGCTTGGGCTGCCAATCGACGGTTAAACTCTTGGCACAAAACTCTGGGCGAGTTTGGCCAGGCCACCGAGCGCGTTCTGGGCTGAACGGCTGGGCCAACCTTCGCTTCAGCACATGGGGATGCTTCTGCTAGGGCTTGAGAGGTGGGGAAAGCACGGTTCGGCCCCCAGTTGGGTTTCGCTACCTTTGGGAGGGCAGCTACCAACGCTTTCACAACGGCTACAACGCCAAGAAGAGCACGCAAGGAGGGTTGTGCCAAGATGAGGGAGCTCCTAACTCCACAAACAACTCGCTGCGCCTTACAAGACGCTAGGAGAAAAACCAAAAACTTATTAGAAGACTAGAATGTAATTAGGAAAACACTAATTTAGTGAGAGAAAGTTTATTGTTAAATAATCTGCGCGAGGGAAATTGATGAGAGTGAGAATTTAGAGGGAGAACGATGTTAAAAGGAGTTACGGGGGGGGCGAATAAAAACGGGGGACCTAGGGGACGGGGAATTAGAGGGGAAACCGGCGGCAACGGGGATCCGGTGAGCCCAAAAAATCCGCGACTGACTGGGAGAGGGCTCTCTTCTTTGGGCGGCCTGCCTTCCTTGGGCGCGCGCCGTGGCGTCGGCGACGGTATCGCAATGTACTCGTGCGAAAGAGGGGCTCGAGGGAAGGGGAGCAGGGGCTCAACCCAACTGAGCCGACGGATCACGCGTTCCATATTAGGAATGTCCTAAATGCGAATTGCGGTAAATAAACGTCAAAAATACCCTGAAGTCAAAGGACGGGCTGGTGACCTCGCGTGGCAAGGCGGGCGGCCGCTGCGACTTGACCGGGGTGGTGCTGCTGCTGGAGATGGTGAAGCTCGCTAGAAATAAAATTAAAAAAGGGAACCGGATGACTGACGCGGCTTGTGGGAATTCGAGCCGGACGGGCCTGGTGTTGGCTGACGGGCGACGAGCTTGCGGCGCTGCTCGGCCTGTTCCTAAAATCACGCATAAAATAGCTCAATCCAAGCAATATAAATATTTATAGAAATTAAACCCAAGGGCGTCAGAAAACCGTAAATGTCTGAATGCCTAAAGCTAGCAATGAGATACCTCCTTAGATACGGCTCCCTTCGAGCGTTGCGGGCTGTCCCTGATGCGACTGCGCGACTGGTGGCCGGCAAGACCGGCATGGTGCGGGCGACTCGACGAGCTGTCGGCAGAGAGGTCGCTGGAAAAGGCAAACCTGAGGCGAAAGGAATAGATAGTTTACCGTCGTCTTGGCAGCACCGGCCGGACGTTGGTGTGGGTGGTGCGTTCAGTGCTCTTGCGGCGACGTCTGAAAATGGGAACAATACGTGAAAGAAAAAGCTGGATACCCTTTGCTGAGGAAGTTGCTCGCCTTTTGCGCCAAGTTCTGGAAGGCCAACGAGCTGGAGCGACGGTTGCGAGTCTGAAATTAGAAATTAAAGATGATCAAAGATGCTTTTAATTGATTTGTCCATAGAAATAAACATAGAAACGATTCTTGGATCTCGCATAAAATGACAGTGGTAACGGATCAGCAGGATTTAGAAGGCTTTCCCAAAAAAAACAGCGGAAAAAGCCGACACACGCAAAAGCTTGAAACCCAAAATTTTCGGCAGAATTTTTGTGTTTCGGGTCCTTTGGTATTACCGGGAAGGGGCGCGGACCATTTAGAAAAGGCTTCAAAAAGTTTGAAATTTTTATCCAAAATCGGCATTTTCTTGCTAGAAATCAAGATTTGAGCTTTTTAATAAATTTGCGTCGTTTGGCGTTCAGGAATAGCATAACTTTCCTCTATATTTTAAAAATTCAGATTCCCGGGCAATACTAAAGAACCGTTCTCGGGCATTGCGGCATGGGCATTCTGGCTGCACGTTCGTTCGCACACAAAACACAAGCTACCAACACTGATAGATGGTGACCGGGGTGCCGGTGCCGGCTCTTGTCGCTGCTGCTCCCGTTGCTGTTGCAGATATTGCTCCCGCTTGCGCTGAAGCACGCGTTGGTTCTCGTCATCTTCATCGGTGAACGGGTCGTTCCACTGGTCGTTGTTCCGCACGCCCCACGTACGGCTTGGCGTGCGCGGCAGCGGCGAGTGCAGCGCGTTGACGAACGAGGAGAACGAGCGGCGCTGGAATACAAAAACACATGAACACAGGGTGGACGGGACAAACGTACGGCACAGTTCTTGAGGGCGCTTCCGAGACGAGGATTCGTTCCGTGCTGTGGCTGCGAGTCGATTGGGACGCGGACACCCTAGACACAGAACATATACGAGAAAAGGAAGCGATTCGTGCAAAGGGACGTCGGACGGTGGCAAAACAGGCATGCAAGAACAGGAAAAAGCCACAAAACTGTTTTTTTTTTGCAAAAAGAAAGGCAAATTCTAGTGGAAACCGATTTAGAAAACTTCTATAAAGTGAAGACTAACGAAACACGCATTCTGGATAGAAACAAAATTAAAGTGTCAAAGCTACTAGAAACGATATTCCTAGTAAAATTCGGGAAAAAGGAGGGTTTTTCGGCGCATTTGGAGTCTTGCGATGTGACCTAGCTCATCCGATAGGGCTTGATATTCTGAACAAGCCCAGGTTTGAACCATTGCTGAACCATTACGGTATTCGAGAAAGTTTGATCTGAAGAGGCCGATTTGTCGATTTTTGGCACTGCTGATCAAAATGCCAGCTACGTGAGGCTTCTTTTCGTAGACCGCAATTGTTCAGCAGCTTTTTTTGAAGACGGGATTGGTTCAGAATTTCAAGCTCTACCAGTTGAGCTATTTCACATAACAAAACTAAAAAAGCTCCGAAAAAACCCCACATCGTAAGATGAACCTCATTGTAAGATGAAATAACCGTTACCTCATGCAGGCGAACGATGGCCGGGTCATTGGGGCTCGGCAGCGACGTGCGTTTGTCGAGCGGAATCGAGGCCGCCTGCAGCTGCGAGAGCGGCGTGCTGAAAATGAGCAACATTAGCCGGATAGACGCCCGGGGCACGGAATCCACGACGAACACACACACAAACGCTTCAGCAGCGACATCGAGGCTTTATTAGTTAGCAACATAAATACATGGACAAGATAGATACACAGAAAAAGAAGGGGTTCAAAAACCCTCACCGGTTGATGGGAGCGGCCGAGGAGCTGCGCGCCTGGCTCGAGACGTAGCACTCGCGCGTCAGCCCTGAAATTGGAGGTGAGCATGACCAAATTAAGGACGTCCTTTTTTATGAGATCACCGAGTTTTGAGATGTGACGGAACTATTTGATAGAGCTTTCACCTTTGAAAAAGATTCAGCTTTCAAAAAAATTGCTGCACGAAATGACGAAAGAAGTTTTGCATTTTTCCCCATTTATGATCCACGCTTTCAAAAAGTAAAAATTTGAGATCCCGTTTTTTGGAAGCCCGTTATCGTTCAGCCGTCATTTCCCATCGTTCAACGGTCGGCCCTACTTAGAATTTCCGGCTCTATAGACTACGCCACACCACAAAAATCGGTTATCTCCTAAAAAGCGAACGTTGCTAAGCGTAAAACTACGTTACGTAAAACGTATAAAAAACCGACCAATCCAGGTGGCCCACTCGATGAGAATGGTGACGGCGGTGGCGGCTCTTTGCGAGTCGGCCTTCGCCTCGTTGAGCTGACTGAGGGTGGGCGGGTTGGTTTGGACACGGCCGGGCATGCTGCGCTTCGGCACCCCCTTCGGCTTGTCGAACGCCGTCAAATCGAACAGGGTCGGCCCGAAGCAGGTCGCCAGATTCTGGATCGTCATCCCGTTTCGGTCGTTGTGCTGGGATACCTGAAAAATGGGTTAAAATAGATTGGAAACGCGCAGCACGCGCATTGTTTTGCAAGCAGCTCAGGAAGATTTTGAAAATTTTGGACATAAATATAGCTTTCTTTCGCCCACAAAAGCAAAAAAAACAACTAAAAATTACCCGATTAAGTTCGCGCATCAAAAAGCACAGCGTCCCCAGGTGGTAGTCGGGCATCCGGGTGCGTAGAATGTATTGAAGCTGCTCGCCGGACACCTAAACACGAGTTAAATAGTGGAATCCAAATAGCAACTCACGCTCTCGCCAGCCCCTTTTCGATCGGCCAGCGTCAGCAGGGCGTTGGCGATGTCGCGAGAATGGAGCAGAGGGTGCTAAAATCTTGATGTAAACACGGACGTTCTCAACTACTAACCTTTAGTGTCTTGAAAAAGGTCTTTATCAACGAGCACACATCCAAATAGTTCAAATCGAGCGGGATCCGCTCACGCCCCTGGTAGATGGCCTAAAAAACAGATTTAATTGAATTAATGCCAAAAAATTCTCACCAGAATCTTTTTGCTGTACGAGTTGATGCGGGCATTGTTGCCCCCTTTCCGGAATAGCCCCTCCTTCTCAATGTTCGAGCGAATGATGTTGAAGGCGTCGACGAGAAACTTGGGCACTTCGCGGAGGGTGAGCGTGGTGATGCCCTTGGCCTGTTGCTCGCTCTTCTCCACCTCGACTTGGATGTTGATGTTGTAACTGTAAAAATTGGAGCATTAAAAAGCTTGAAAACAATTTCGTGGAACAAAAGTTTTCAAGGTTCTTTCGCGTTATCGGGGGGGGTAATTTTATGTACCCGTCTCGAACAGCCTAGTGGCTTAAAAGCAAGTGTTTTAATGGTGTTTTTAGCAAGAAAACAACTATATTGAACTAGAACACAATTTTAAAACTTCAAAAATGTTCAAAAAGCCAAAATTTTGGCCAAGAGACGCAAAATTTCTCTCACCCCGATAATGCCAAAGGACCTGTCTCAAAAACTAATACAAAAATTACCATTTGACGGAGCCGAGCTGAAGGGTGGACTCGGAAGTTTTGGGCTGGCTGCAAGTGGCCTCCATGTACTCCTCGGTATATGGTATCTCGGAGACGATCATCTTTGGCTGGCTGTTCGATAGCTTCTGTGCGTGGTCTGGTCGATGCTGGTGCTTAGATCATCCCACGGCGGCCAGAGAGAGCTTGCTAAAAAGAAATCTGGAAATTAGGCGGAAACCCAAAAAAGCGTGGAAATCATAAAAGTGAAAGAGGACAAAGTATGGCCGAATTAATCATGGTTCATGGATGGCCGTGGATAACGGCCGTAACATGGATAACGCGAAAAGTTTTGTCTTCGGAAGTGTTTCTACACTCTCGTCTGATTAGAGCGTAATACTCCTTAGTTATTACTCTAGTTTCAAGATTAATTCCGTAACGCTTTAATTTTTAGCTCTTGTTACTTAGAGCAGTCAAAATTTGATCAGTTTTTCAACGATACTTTTAAGAGTAAAACTATTGTTTCTGAATCAATTCATAGGCAGATTTGGGTTTCGGTACCAGCCTAGCCCCTTAAAGTTTTTGACCTGCTCATAAGCCCTCCCGCATCCCCATCACCGGCATCACCATACTCGTTGTAGGCGGCGTTTGAGAAATCTAACAAGGGTTCGGACCCCTTAACGGTTTTTATTTTTGGCTTTTTTACTCCGAAGCTTCCTCTTTTTATTCTGAATACCGTATTCTCCTTAAAATGTTCAACATTTCAACAAAAACTTTTTAAAGCCTTTTTATCAAAAGCTATAGTGACTTGCAGTTCAACATTTTCACCCTTTCTGGCCCTTTCTTTACTTCTTTTGCGGGATTTTATGGATCACCAAGCATGCACAGGACGGCGTGGCTATTGGCGCGCCGCGGAGTCCTTTCTCTCACAGGCGCACTATCCGATATGTTCTTCACCTCTTTTGCGGGAATTTTTGGGATTGGCACGCATGCACAGTACGCGCGTGGCTATTGGCGCGCCGCGGAGTCCTGTTTCTCTCACAGGCGATTTTTTTTCTCTGATACGTTCCTCTTCAAAAAACGCTTCCTAATATCTTCAGTACCATCCTGAGAGCAAAATCTCCTTAAAAAGTCTTTATGATTGCTTTATGATAACCTCTCTAAATTCGCTGAAATACATTTCATTTTACGATTTATTCCATTCTACGAGATTGATTGCGCTAATAGCCTCTTTTCCATTGATTCTAGGATATTTTCAGGCTTGTTCTATTCGCTTACCATCGATAGTTTGTCGAAGCTTGCTAATTCCGAAATTTTTAGGTAAGCATGTCCAACGAGAAAAGGTGCCTACTGGCCCCAGACGATAAGACCCTCCTCCACATCTCGGATTGGCATGGAGTCACACTTGGAACGGCGTTCACTCCGGCGTCATCGCAAGTTGAGGTAATGATAATGATATTGCGCTGTGAGATGCTACCCCTTCAACGGGGGGGGTGGTATTTTTCCGCCTAGTCTTTCCAGAACAAAAATTTTAATTTGGCAAAATCTAAATTCTCGACTTTTATTGGACACTTCATACATTTTTGGCCAAAAAATCAAAAAGTTTCTAAAATTTTTATAAACTTTCTATATAAAATCTTTGTAAAATACTATAAAAACGGTTTATATCACGTCATAGGGCCGTACGGGATCTGGGGAAAAATTGGTTTCCCCTCGTTAAACCCCCGGCCGTTAAAGGGGTAGCATCCGTTGAGATCTAAAGTATTCAAAATTAGGCAATAATCGACGGCCAGACGCGATCGAGACTCGGACCGAACCCGCGAGCAGTGGTGCTAGAGGGACTCGTGACGGGGTTTGAGCAGAAGCGCTTCCAAGACGTAATATTTTTACTAACTCCAACGTTCCTCTTTAGTTAAACTGTGCCGTTGCATGGCTCGTCGTTCCTCCGGAAGCGCCTTCGAGTACGGTGACATCTATCTCCTTTTCGAGCGGCGACGAAGATACGGACGGCGACTGGAAAGAGCGAGCCCGAAGGTAACTGAACTTTTAGCAATATAGGCTATATATGGTTAGATGAACAGCTTTCGAACTAGATTTACTTTGCAGCAAGGTAGTCTCTAAAATTCGCCGCATTTTAGGTTGTGGGCAGAATCGAAACAAGAAGGTCGAGACGAAGACGCGCAAGAAGCATGCTTCGAAAAATTGGTCGCGATTGGACACGAGCATGGGAAGTGGGAAGAGGAATGGGCCGGACTCCAAGCACAGGGCAATACCGAAATGATCGCGCTTTTCTCTGTGAGGCCCGGACCAACGTGCGCGATGAACGATCTGATCCGGTTTTTCAAGTGAGATTTTCGAACTTATTAGAAATTTTGTGACGAAACTTTATGCTAGCAAACTTCTCAAAAATTCGTTGTTTCAGGGATAATTGTCCTGGCTACGTTGAATCGGGGCCCTCGAAGATGATCCGCCGTGACGGGACGCTCGCCCACATTTTCATGAAGGCCACTTCATATGAAGCGTTGCTAGAAGCCGAAGCAGTCCTCTCAAATGCCGATATCAAAGCTGAAAAGAATTTTATCTTTACTATCTGAATAAAGACTTGTCATGTTACACTGCTACATTGCGATAATTGGTGATAATACCGATAGAAGTACTTCGTGAAATGATCTGCCATTATATTTGTTCGGTAACGAAATCTGGATGGGCGCAATGATCGAACGGCAATTGTTGCGCATTGTACACCATTTCTCTCCGCCGCCGATTTTATTTAGGTTCTTTGCGCGCAGCCCATAAAGAGCGAGCTTGAAATAAGTCTGCGAAAGTTTATTTATCGCTTATGATTTGTTGAAAAAGATCTTAGATGACGTTTAGTTGAATAATCGCTTGGATGACGAATTTTAGCTCACGGAACGTGCAAATTTGTTTTTGGAATTGGTAATTCGTTTCTTGAAACGCCTGCTGTGTTCACGTTTTAGTTAAGCTTGGTTCCTTGACCTGTTTATCAACTTTCCTGTTTACTAGTGAATTTGTATAGAGTTAGAAATGAAATAGCTTTTCTTCTTATCTTCTCTGTCTATCTATCTATCTCTGCCCCGACGACCGCGTCGCTGAGCACAGCATAGAGGTGCCAATCCATAAAAAGTTTTCCCGAGTGATCCATGCTCGCTTCCTTGGTTAGGAAATCTGTAAAAATCCACCCGGGGCAGTTAATGCTTAGCGAGCATATTCAGGACAAATACCGCTTTTCGCTTTTTTACGCTTTGACTACGCGCTTGATGCCCATCTCGATGTGCGTTCTTACAACTTTGCACTATTGCTGTTTTCAAATACTGTTCTGCTTTTTTTCTTTTGCGTAAACTGATGAATTCAGGTTTTCTGATGTCGGAGGTCGGACTGGGCAGATCGAATTGGCTGGCTTGGGCTGGCATTGCCGGTAATTACTCTCTTTCATTTCAAAACGGGGTTTCTAGGCACCGCCTTCCTCGGATATGCCATCTACTTCGACTACAAACGCCGCTCCGCGCCCGACTACAAGCAGAAAGTGCGCGAGAGTCAGTTTTATTTCATTTTTTGAAGATATATTCGTTCCAGATCGTCGTCGAAAGGCGCTCGGCAAAAATGGACGCGATGTTGTGTCGGCGCGGGGCGGCAACTCCATGGGAATGCCGGATCCGCGAAACCCGGCCTCGATGCAAGCCTTCTTCCTGCAAGAGGTTCAACTTGGCGAGGAGCTGATGTCTGCCGGTAATATAGAGTGCCCAAAAATCATTCCTCGACATCTGGCCGGCTTTCCCAATCGGATCCGCATTTTTGCCAGTGATGCGGCATAGAAAGTGTTTTGCGCCGAATTATCAAGGCCAACGATGTAAAATCAAGCAGTTGTAGCAAAATTAGGCTTTATTGTATGCTGCTTTAATGGATTTCTACCTCGAAATGTTTAGCGCCACAGAAAAGGGCATTTTTCTGCCGGGGGATTTTCTACTTTTTCCCTACGAAATTATCGTTTGAACCCAAGCTTTTGATGACTTTTTATCATCAAAATCGGCGGGCGTGAGTACTGGATGGCCAGTTTGTAGAAATTACCCAAAATCCGCGTTTGATTAGTTTGAGTTTGACGTGCATCGAACCCTCCAGAAAGCCCGGTTTTTTACTACAACTTGATTCATGTAATTTATAAGCTTTTATACTGATTTTTTTACTTCAAATTCGCTTGTACATCGTTTTTACGGGTCCGCATCGCTGGTAAAATCTGGATCCGATCGCATAGAAGGCTGCGAACGGCCGAGAGATGTTATTTTGGGAGACCGTGTTGATTTTTGACGAGAATTATCAGCGGTGAACAATCTAGAATCATGATATCTACGAAACCGTTTGCAAAATTGCAGCTTGGCATCGAAACGTGTTTTTTCAGGAAACGTGGCCGAGGGTGCGGTGCATATCGCGAACGCCGTCGTGCTGTGCGGCCAACCACAAGAGCTGCTGTCGATTTTCCAACAAACGCTGCCGCCCGACCAGTTTGCCGCCGTCGTCCAAGTGTTGCCGGGCGCTCGAGGAGTTTGTTTTTTTGCCTTTATTGCAAGTCGTTTTGCTTAGCGTCTCGCCGACATGTTCGACACGGCTGCCGACCAAGTCGAGGCCAGCGGCGGCGCAGGCGACGGCTCGTTTATGATGGCAGCGCTCGAGCCGAATGGATCGTCGGGATCTGGGGTGAGGACTTACGTTGGCTTGATTTATTTGGCTGTTCCCTGCCCGGAAAGTGGAATTTCGTGAGATCCATTCAGAAATTCCCAAATTGTGGCTCTCTGTACTGAAAAAGCGCCAAAAAACCTATTTCAAAACATCAAAATACGCGTTCCGGACATTTTTTACACTACACACACGTTTTTCAAACTGAGAGGCGCATCTTGCGTATTTCTGAATCGATTCCGAGAAGAAAATTTGACAGGAACCATATATTTAGCTTTTCCGTGTGTTCGTATCCTTTTCGGGTCTTTCCCATTTTCGGGGGAACCATCTTTTTGTTCTAATATAAATAAATGAAGGAATTCCGGTCACTTCGCCTAAATCCGTTTCGACTAAACCCGTTTCGCCTAAACCCATCTCGCCTAAAACCCGTTTCGCCTAAAGCCCATTTTGCCTAAATTTTGGTCATTTTCATATACAGGGTGTCCCAATAAAAAAGGTCACGCTGGCATTTCGCCATTTCTAATCCGATCGACCTGAAATTTGGAGCAGAACTGCGGAAGGGCATTTAAAATGTTCACAGAAAATTTCAGCCCGATCGGTAATGTAGTTTTCGAGTTATTGCAAAAATACTGTTTTTCTAACACTTTCACTTCATTATTTCGGCTATCTTTTTGGACTTTGCATCAATTAACATAATTTTCCGGCTCTAAATCCCTCATTCTTCTTAACATCAGGGTGGATCATACCTTGTTAAAATTACTTAAATAGCCCCTTTACAAGCCGAATTTCGCTAAATAAAAAATTTTCCGGGATAAAAAAGGGTCGGCGCTTCATTTTTGCCATAGATTCTGTCGTGGGCCCAGGCGAGGCCCCGCCCATCAGGGAGCCTGCCGACGGGCCCACCACAACCGGCATTCCATCCAACCCTCCTGCCAACTGCTAGGATTTTGTTATAACACAACGTTTAATAATTGCGGAATAAAGAGAATTAGCTTATATCCAAGGACCCAAGCGCATCCCAAGATTACACCTGAATTGGGGGCGCCACAACTTGGTGCGTCGGCCGCGCGAAAAGCTAACTTCTCTCACTCCGTCATTATTTTTACGTCCACCCCTTGCCCTGATCAGGCAAACCCAATCCTACGGGCAGAACGACCCCTGTCGGGGCGCGAAAAGACCTACGGGCAACATTCAACTGCGCAACAGAACCGGCCAAGAGGAGCCGAAGGGCCAGAAGAGCCAGCAAAACCGGCCAAGAGGAGCCGAAGGGCCAGAAGAGCCAGCAAAACCGGCCAAGAGGAGCCGAAGGGCCAGAGGAGCCAACAAAACCGGCCAGGAGAAGCCGAAGGGCCAGGGGAGCCAAAGAGCCAGTGGAGCCAGTAAAAATTAGGCCAGAAACAGTGCCTAAAACGAGAGCAAAACCGGTAAATCAAATCCGGAAGTATCGTACTCCCTCGATTTCGTTCAACCAACGAAATCTTCGTGTTATTAATTTCGTGTGTATTACTTGTGTATTGTACAATTGATAAAAACCCAAAAAACCAAAAAATAAAAACAGTACTTGTATTCGTGTCCTATCAATAAATCACAAAAATGGCCCGTGACAATACAGTGGAATCACTGACCACTGATTTGGCTGAACTTGATACCCACCTTTACCGTGTAGATGACCCTGCAACTGCCGTCGCCATGCTCGGCCCGATAGAATTATCATCTAAAGTAATCCACACAGCCTCCATGGATACCTTAGAAATCGCCCAAGCAGCCAGAGCCGCAATCGATTTTGAAGCCCAAAATGTCGTAGATCACAGATTCCAAGGCTCAATTCCGACGAAAACCAGGTTAAAAACGTAAAATAAAGTTTATTTTTGCTATAACTCGACAACTACTGCACCGATCAGGCCGAAAGTTTCTGTGAACATTTTAAATTCCCTTCCGCAGCTCTGTTCAAAATTTCAAGTCGATCGGATTAGAAATGGCGAAATGCCAGCGTGACCTTTTTTTATTGGGACACCCTGTATAAATTTTTGACCAAAAAGTCGGCAATTTTCGAAAGCTTTATAATAGTTTCGTAAGATTTTAAAGAGATTCCTTGGAATTCTTCATTAAAAGCTATGTAATTGGCTTCATAACGTGGTTTTTGACAAGGAATTTGCAAAATTATGTTTCGAAAATCCTAAAACACTTACAAGTATTTCGAAAAATGGTGATTTTTTTGGTCAAAAATGCAGCAGTGCAAACGGTCAATAATTTAGGCGAAATGGGTTTAGGCGAAACGGGTTTTAGGCGATATGGGCTTTAGGCGAAATGGGAATTAGGCGAAATGGGCTTCAGGCGAAACGGGTTTTAGGCGAAACGGGTTTTAGGCGATATGGGTTTAGGCGAAACGGGTTTAGGCGAACTGGCCGTCACCCAAATGGAGGGCTTTTAGACGCTTTTTTACTATACCAAAACGTGAAAAGTTTGCAAATTTTGCATAAAAAATACAAAAAAAATATCGTCGTTTTTGAACAACGAATTTTTCATTTTTTCGTGTTTTGCCACTTGAAATATACTGCAATTTGGTTAAAAGGCCATTAACACGCTTACTTTCACGTTACTAGACACTTCTGAACTTGTAAGAAAAAGTTGGAGTGAAAAATGGTCCCCCGATAATGCGAAAGCACCTTTTTAAATCCGTTTTTTAGGCTGCCCAGCTGATCGAGGAGGAGCTGGAGTGATGCTGGATCGGCGCGTCACAACACTCCGGATTCAATTGACCGTTATTTTTTCGCAGCATCTCATTTTCGCCACCCCCCTTTGCTAGCATCTTTGGTTAGAACACCTTTGAACAGCCCGATCGTTTAAATGAAGCGTTTCACACATAGCTCTCGTTCGTTTGTTGATGTGTTTGTGATTTCGCGCGCCACAAATTTCCGATGCATTGATTCGTTCGTCTTGTTTCATTTTTCGTTGATTTGTTTCATCCGCTCAGGCATCACCAATAAATCTAGTTCACCTGCCCCACCTCCCTAGAGTCAAGCCGTATAAGCTGATAATGCCGATTAGGCTATCATATTTCATCGCGATGACGACATCAACAGCCGTTTTTGTTTCCAAATCATCTAAATTCTAAATTCAGGTTTTTCGTATGACATTCTAAAGTGTCGTAATGACTTCGCGGGCGGGATTTTAAACAGACTGAAGGCATGATAGGAGCGTAGACTTTTTGCCCCGCGAAAATAGCGCCAAAATCGGCATTCTGTAAATCGGTATTAGGTAAAATCGAGATTGTGTAGGTAATTCGAGTCAATCCTTTATTCGACGGTTGGACCTGTGCGATAAAAATCGCTAATCGGATACTCCTGGATAAATGGGAAGAGCCCGGGGATATAAAGCTAATCAAATGAGGGCGATTCGGTTGGCCTGTTCGAGCCGCTAGCCGTAGTTTCGTCCACGGTCCTGTTGATGAAGCCGCCGGTGTAGGCCATGTTTAGGAGAACCTCGGGCAGATCTAGACGTTCAATCGTCGATGGAAGCCCTGGTACTGGACTTTTAGCGGGGGGGGGGAATCACTATCTGTTTTTTACTTGTGGATGATTTTTAGATATTTTTATAGTTTTAGTAGAAAAAAGGGGGGTCCCTTTCTTTTTTACTGGCGGTTTCGGTCGGCCTATTAATCAAATATAAAGTGCTTTTACATTGTTTTTAGTAAACTTTGACTATATTTGAAGTAGAAAAACTTTCAAAAAAGTTAGAAAACTGTTTGAAAAGACAAAATTGGTCCATTCTGGCTCGAAAAAAATCAATTTTTCGACCTAAAATTATTTTCCAATTAACATTTGTATAGTTTTTATGCTTAGGAATAGTTAAAAACAATTTAGAAACGCATCCGATATTTCCAAAAAAATGTAGGCTTTGACGAAAAAACGTTGGCTCCCCCGCGAATCCTAAACAACCCGAAAACCGTGTAAATTGCTATCAAAATGTTTTCTTTTTAGTTAGGGTTACTGGGCAAAATTGGTTTCCCCTGCTAAGAGTCCAGTACCGAATCCCTGCTGGCTAGCCCACCAAAGATGGTCATTTGCGGCATGGCCGGCTGGTGCTGCATGAAGTTGACGACTGCCGTCGCGCTCGACGACACTCGAGGGGACGACGGGACGGTCTGATGAATGGCATTGTCTAGTCAGTTGCAACGTACCGAGATTGACGACGTGGAGCTGGAGACGCTCGAGCTGCGGCTCACCCGAATGCTTGCCACGTTACGCCGCGTGTCGCATTGCCGCGCCGAGCCGACCGCCGACTAAAACAAGGTTACAGGCAGGTTAACGTAAAAATCTTGGCAATTTTTTAAAATACAAAACATATACGGTTTTCGACGAAAAGATGGCCGTTCTTGACCAAAATTTCGAATTTTTGAAAAATATTTCGAAGTTTTTAGACAGTTTTTCTGGTTATGAAAATGGCATCTTACTAAATCTTACTTGTTTATCTTTCGTGATCTTACTAAAAGATAGAAACTACTACTGGTTTTCTCTAATACCTTTTTTCTAGGTTTAATCTTACTACGGCTGAAGTGCAGTTTACCCCCTCCCCCCCCCCCTCCAGCCGACCCCCACCTAGCGTATCTCGGCTCCCTATTCATCTACAGGTGTGTAAAGTATACCAAAATACTCGCGAGAGCAAGACGAACATTTTGGTAGGCACTTTACATACCGGTAGATGAACAGGGAGCCGAGACACAAAAGCTGAGTACCGGCTAGGGGGGTAAACCGCCCTCTAACCCTTACTAAAAAAATAATTAAAATACTTCCCACTATTATCAGGCATTTCTGGATTAATATAAAAAATTGTTACCGATAATACAGATCCCCCTGATAATGCCAAAGAACCAAACGCCTACCGTAGACGGGCTGGATCCATCGTGCTCGATCCTCAGACTCGTCACATCCCGGCGCGTATCGCATTGGCTACGCTTTGGGCGCGGCCCAGCTGTGGCACGTCGCCTCCGCCCGGCATCGTGGTGGAAGAAGACGGCATTGTTGGGGTTGAAGCGGGCGGCGTTCAGGCTGGCCGTGTCGTTGTCGCTGTCGTCGTCGCTGCTGCTCGACGATTCGGCGCATTGCAGCTCTGGGTCGGCCATCAACGAATTGACGAGGCGCCCTGAAAATTTGGTTCTTTCGCATTATCGGGGGGGGGTTGCCGAACTCATCTAAAAATTCCCTGTTAATAGTCAGTAGCTAAACTTTAAAATGTTGAAAAAGTCGAATTTTTGGTCAAAACAGCGCCACTTTTGGTCGACAAATCGATATTTTGATGCTTCTTAAGGAAAAATAGTGAAGTTTTCACGTTTAGGAATAGTAAAAAACCGTTCAGAAACACTGCCACTATTTATATTTGCAAAATTAGATCCCAAGGAAAAAAGTTGGTAAAGTAAGAACAGAAAAACCCGCTATTTTCCTCGTAGGCCGTGCGAATCTGCGTCTTGACGTTGCGCAGCTTCACCTGAAAATCACACGTTTATTTATTTATTCTTTGGCGAATAGTTAATTTAATTTAATTTTCAAATTTACAAACGATTTTTGGTGCTTTCACATTATCGGGGGGGAGCGGCAGCTATTTGTTTGTTTACGTTACCTTTCTTTGCTATTTTGTTTGAAGTGTTTCTGACCTATTCTTACTATTGCTAATCAAAAAAACCGACAAATCTCTATTAAAGATATAAAAAAACCCGACTTTTAGTAAATTTCCAATTTTTAAACTTTTGCTAATTATTTTCCCACTTGAATTAGTTAAATTTGTCATATTTCAACTAGAAAAACTCTGTAAAACCCCAATAATAATTTTAAAAAGTAATTTTTGGTAAAAAATCGACGGTTTTTAGTCGAAAACTAGATATTTAAAAGAAAAAAAAGTAGAAAAAAATTCGGTTACTTGAACTAAAAAAAACTACGAGACACTACTAAATTGGTTGCGAAGAAAAAATTCCGCTCCATCCCTCCCCCCGATATTGCAAAAGAACCGTTAGGTTTTTGTAAGCGAAATTGATTAAAAGAAGCATTTTTTATGGCATTTATACCCGTTCGCCGACATAGCTGTAGTAGAGGCATTGAGTGAACACACAGCAGCACGTCATCAGCATGATGCCCACGCTGAGGGTGAGCAGCATCAACAGCTGCAACCACCGCGTGCCGATCGTCTCGGATGACTCGGGCGCTGCGGTGGGCGTTTTTTACGCCTTGTATTTCGTACCGAATTACCTAAAATCGAGGAAAGGTCGAGTTGCTGCTCGGGGAGGCTGATTGGGATGTACTCCTTGAAGTCGAGGGCTGGGAAGGTGGTTGCTGAAAAGCGATCGTTTCCTCAAAGAATCCCTACTAGCCTGCCCTCAACAGCTTGTATTATGCAAAATCAAACCATCTTGACCATCGACGGGCGTTGGTAGGAGGTCAAAGTCCGAGATATTGGGCAAGGCGGCCATCCAGGAATAACTCTGGGGCCGAATAATTTTTATGCGATTTGGTGTATGCAATATGCCGCTGTAAGGATTTAAAGTAGCAGGCTAGCAGAGATTGTTTGAGGAAATGGACGGACCCCGAGAGGAGGGCAGGCTAGCAGAGATTGTTTGAGGAAATGGACGGACCCCGAGAGGAGGGCAGGCTAGCAGAGATTGGAGGAGGAAATGGACGGACCCCGAGAGGAGGGCAGGCTAGCAGAGATTGGAGGAGGAAATGGACGGACCCCGAGAGGAGGGCAGGCTAGCAGAGATTGTTTGAGGAAATGGACGGACCCCGAGAGGAGGGCAGGCTAGCAGAGATTGTTTGAGGAAATGGACGGACCCCGAGAGGAGGGCAGGCTAGCAGAGATTGTTTGAGGAAATGGACGGACCCCGAGAGGAGGGCAGGCTAGCAGAGATTGGAGGAGGAAATGGACGGACCCTGAGAGGAGGGCAGGCTAGCAGAGATTGGAGGAGGAAATGGACGGACCCCGAGAGGAGGGCAGGCTAGCAGAGATTGGAGGAGGAAATGGACGGACCCCGAGAGGAGGGCAGGCTAGCAGAGATTGTTTGAGGAAATGGACGGACCCCGAGAGGAGGGCAGGCTAGCAGAGATTGTTTGAGGAAATGGACGGACCCCGAGAGGAGGGCAGGCTAGCAGAGATTGTTTGAGGAAATGGACGGACCCCGAGAGGAGGGCAGGCTAGCAGAGATTGGAGGAGGAAATGGACGGACCCCGAGAGGAGGGCAGGCTAGCAGAGATTGTTTGAGGAAATGGACGGACCCCGAGAGGAGGGCAGGCTAGCAGAGATTGTTTGAGGAAATGGACGGACCCCGAGAGGAGGGCAGGCTAGCAGAGATTGTTTGAGGAAATGGACGGACCCCGAGAGGAGGGCAGGCTAGCAGAGATTGGAGGAGGAAATGGACGGACCCTGAGAGGAGGGCAGGCTAGCAGAGATTGGAGGAGGAAATGGACGGACCCCGAGAGGAGGGCAGGCTAGCAGAGATTGGAGGAGGAAATGGACGGACCCCGAGAGGAGGGCAGGCTAGCAGAGATTGTTTGAGGAAATGGACGGACCCCGAGAGGAGGGCAGGCTAGCAGAGATTGTTTGAGGAAATGGACGGACCCCGAGAGGAGGGCAGGCTAGCAGAGATTGTTTGAGGAAATGGACGGACCCTGAGAGGAGGGCAGGCTAGCAGAGATTGGTGGAGGAAATGGACGGACCCTGAGAGGAGGGCAGGCTAGCAGAGATTGGAGGAGGAAATGGACGGACCCTGAGAGGAGGGCAGGCTAGCAGAGATTGGAGGAGGAAATGGACGGACCCTGAGAGGAGGGCAGGCTAGCAGAGATTGGTGGAGGAAATGGACGGACCCTGAGAGGAGGGCAGGCTAGCAGAGATTGTTGGAGGAAATGGACGGACCCTGAGAGGAGGGCAGGCTAGCAGAGATTGGTGGAGGAAATGGACGGACCCCGAGAGGAGGGCAGGCTAGCAGAGATTGTTTGAGGAAATGGACGGACCCCGAGAGGAGGGCAGGCTAGCAGAGATTGGAGGAGGAAATGGACGGACCCTGAGAGGAGGGCAGGCTAGCAGAGATTGGAGGAGGAAATGGACGGACCCTGAGAGGAGGGCAGGCTAGCAGAGATTGGAGGAGGAAATGGACGGACCCCGAGAGGAGGGCAGGCTAGCAGAGATTGTTTGAGGAAATGGACGGACCCTGAGAGGAGGGCAGGCTAGCAGAGATTGGAGGAGGAAATGGACGGACCCTGAGAGGAGGGCAGGCTAGCAGAGATTGGAGGGCAGGCTAGCAGAGATTGTTTGAGGAAATGGACGGACCCCGAGAGGAGGGCAGGCTAGCAGAGATTGGAGGAGGAAATGGACGGACCCTGAGAGGAGGGCAGGCTAGCAGAGATTGGTGGAGGAAATGGACGGACCCTGAGAGGAGGGCAGGCTAGCAGAGATTGGTGGAGGAAATGGACGGACCCTGAGAGGAGGGCAGGCTAGCAGAGATTGGAGGAGGAAATGGACGGACCCTGAGAGGAGGGCAGGCTAGCAGAGATTGGAGGAGGAAATGGACGGACCCTGAGAGGAGGGCAGGCTAGCAGAGATTGGAGGAGGAAATGGACGGACCCTGAGAGGAGGGCAGGCTAGCAGAGATTGGAGGAGGAAATGGACGGACCCCGAGAGGAGGGCAGGCTAGCAGAGATTGGAGGAGGAAATGGACGGACCCCGAGAGGAGGGCAGGCTAGCAGAGATTGTTGGAGGAAATGGACGGACCCCGAGAGGAGGGCAGGCTAGCAGAGATTGTTGGAGGAAATGGACGGACCCCGAGAGGAGGGCAGGCTAGCAGAGATTGGAGGAGGAAATGGACGGACCCCGAGAGGAGGGCAGGCTAGCAGAGATTGTTTGAGGAAATGGACGGACCCCGAGAGGAGGGCAGGCTAGCAGAGATTGGAGGAGGAAATGGACGGACCCTGAGAGGAGGGCAGGCTAGCAGAGATTGGAGGAGGAAATGGACGGACCCTGAGAGGAGGGCAGGCTAGCAGAGATTGGAGGAGGAAATGGACGGACCCCGAGAGGAGGGCAGGCTAGCAGAGATTGGAGGAGGAAATGGACGGACCCTGAGAGGAGGGCAGGCTAGCAGAGATTGGAGGAGGAAATGGACGGACCCTGAGAGGAGGGCAGGCTAGCAGAGATTGGAGGAGGAAATGGACGGACCCCGAGAGGAGGGCAGGCTAGCAGAGATTGTTTGAGGAAATGGACGGACCCCGAGAGGAGGGCAGGCTAGCAGAGATTGTTTGAGGAAATGGACGGACCCCGAGAGGAGGGCAGGCTAGCAGAGATTGTTTGAGGAAATGGACGGACCCCGAGAGGAGGGCAGGCTAGCAGAGATTGTTTGAGGAAATGGACGGACCCCGAGAGGAGGGCAGGCTAGCAGAGATTGTTTGAGGAAATGGACGGACCCTGAGAGGAGGGCAGGCTAGCAGAGATTGGAGGAGGAAATGGACGGACCCTGAGAGGAGGGCAGGCTAGCAGAGATTGGAGGAGGAAATGGACGGACCCTGAGAGGAGGGCAGGCTAGCAGAGATTGGTGGAGGAAATGGACGGACCCCGAGAGGAGGGCAGGCTAGCAGAGATTGGTGGAGGAAATGGACGGACCCTGAGAGGAGGGCAGGCTAGCAGAGATTGGAGGAGGAAATGGACGGACCCTGAGAGGAGGGCAGGCTAGCAGAGATTGGAGGAGGAAATGGACGGACCCCGAGAGGAGGGCAGGCTAGCAGAGATTGTTTGAGGAAATGGACGGACCCCGAGAGGAGGGCAGGCTAGCAGAGATTGTTTGAGGAAATGGACGGACCCCGAGAGGAGGGCAGGCTAGCAGAGATTGTTTGAGGAAATGGACGGACCCCGAGAGGAGGGCAGGCTAGCAGAGATTGTTTGAGGAAATGGACGGACCCCGAGAGGAGGGCAGGCTAGCAGAGATTGGAGGAGGAAATGGACGGACCCCGAGAGGAGGGCAGGCTAGCAGAGATTGTTTGAGGAAATGGACGGACCCCGAGAGGAGGGCAGGCTAGCAGAGATTGGAGGAGGAAATGGACGGACCCTGAGAGGAGGGCAGGCTAGCAGAGATTGGAGGAGGAAATGGACGGACCCTGAGAGGAGGGCAGGCTAGCAGAGATTGGAGGAGGAAATGGACGGACCCCGAGAGGAGGGCAGGCTAGCAGAGATTGGAGGAGGAAATGGACGGACCCTGAGAGGAGGGCAGGCTAGCAGAGATTGGAGGAGGAAATGGACGGACCCCGAGAGGAGGGCAGGCTAGCAGAGATTGGAGGAGGAAATGGACGGACCCTGAGAGGAGGGCAGGCTAGCAGAGATTGGAGGAGGAAATGGACGGACCCTGAGAGGAGGGCAGGCTAGCAGAGATTGGAGGAGGAAATGGACGGACCCTGAGAGGAGGGCAGGCTAGCAGAGATTGGAGGAGGAAATGGACGGACCCTGAGAGGAGGGCAGGCTAGCAGAGATTGGAGGAGGAAATGGACGGACCCTGAGAGGAGGGCAGGCTAGCAGAGATTGGAGGAGGAAATGGACGGACCCTGAGAGGAGGGCAGGCTAGCAGAGATTGGAGGAGGAAATGGACGGACCCTGAGAGGAGGGCAGGCTAGCAGAGATTGGAGGAGGAAATGGACGGACCCTGAGAGGAGGGCAGGCTAGCAGAGATTGGAGGAGGAAATGGACGGACCCCGAGAGGAGGGCAGGCTAGCAGAGATTGGAGGAGGAAATGGACGGACCCTGAGAGGAGGGCAGGCTAGCAGAGATTGGAGGAGGAAATGGACGGACCCTGAGAGGAGGGCAGGCTAGCAGAGATTGGAGGAGGAAATGGACGGACCCTGAGAGGAGGGCAGGCTAGCAGAGATTGGAGGAGGAAATGGACGGACCCCGAGAGGAGGGCAGGCTAGCAGAGATTGTTTGAGGAAATGGACGGACCCCGAGAGGAGGGCAGGCTAGCAGAGATTGGAGGAGGAAATGGACGGACCCTGAGAGGAGGGCAGGCTAGCAGAGATTGGAGGAGGAAATGGACGGACCCTGAGAGGAGGGCAGGCTAGCAGAGATTGGAGGAGGAAATGGACGGACCCTGAGAGGAGGGCAGGCTAGCAGAGATTGGAGGAGGAAATGGACGGACCCCGAGAGGAGGGCAGGCTAGCAGAGATTGTTTGAGGAAATGGACGGACCCCGAGAGGAGGGCAGGTTAGCAGAGATTGTTTGAGGAAATGGACGGACCCCGAGAGGAGGGCTAGCAGAGATTTTTTTAGAAAACTTTTGGTTTTTATGTAAATAAATATTGTTTTAGTTTCTAAACATCTTCGTTCTGCTGGCCGGCCTATTCTTGCCGGATAGCCCTGGGAAATGTAAAGGTCTCTTTTCATGAAATGGAGATAATGATACATTTTCAACTCCAGAAAGCACGATCTCAGTTTCTAATCAATTTAT